TCATCTTTTTAAGTGGGAGAACTTGCACAACTGGTGGCTGACTAAATACTTTTTTGCCCCACTGTAAGTAGAAACTTGTTAGTAAAATAGGAATTTCCTTCCTTTTCTCTCTTTCTGCATATCTTCTCTGTGTTCCCATGCTCTGTTTGGGAGGAAGATTTTTTAGCACTCCAACGCTCATCAAGTGAACACTGATTTCCTCTATAGCTTGCCTTGTCTTAAGGGTTGGAGTGACTAACAGCATCTAAGTTTGCATATCGTACTCAAAGTAAGATTGTTCTAGTTTTGATTTAGTACAGTGCATAAACCTGCAAGTATGATTAAATTAAAAGTTCTGCTTATCAGTGATTAAAACCCATGCCTTTACTCTGTTTCTTCTTTGTGTCTGGCATTAATAGCCAAGATGTCCAGGTTTAGACTTTGAGCCTCTAGGAAAAGGAATTCTAAACCTTGTGGGCAGTCAGCAAAACTGTACTATATGTACAGGCAGACAGGTGATATATTAAGGGTAAATGTAAGAGTAGTCATCAACTGGGATTTATAAGTAGACAAATTCATATAATTCCATGCAGAGTTTATTAGAAAAACTGGCACAGGAGCGATAATCTAACCAAATCAATTTCTAGAAGAAAGAATCCCCCTTCTCTGTGCTCTCAGTTATAAAAGAAATGTGCAGTGTATTTATAAAAGTGATTAAAAGGACATCTGTTATATTACCTGTTGAATTTAGCAATTTGCAATCCATAAATATTCTCCCTGCAAACAGTTATGAATGTAAAGTTGTAATAATATGCATAGCTACAATAGCATGGTTGTTATTGCAAAAAAATATCCTGCAGGCCAAACTGGAGATGTAATTGTTACTGTGGCAGAATCAGCATCTTAATTTTCCTTTTTTTGCTAGTCTGCAGTTTGGAAAGAGTTACTGTTAGCTACTATTGGAGAACAGTTTACAGACCACTGTGCAGCAGGTAAGAACATGTTTTTATTATTTGATGTTTGCTTTAACTTGTGAGCATCTCATGCTTAAGCTTGCTGACCATTTTAATTCAGCTGGCCAACATTTGCTAGAACTTTCACATTCAAAGTGGATTACCTTTTTTGCCTGAGTCAGCTGATAGTAAAAAGCACTGATTTTCTCAAACTTTATCTAAGAGTGAAGCCAAGAGAAACAGTAGTTTCCTTCTAACAAGAAAAAGTTCAATTATATGTACATGTTTGACATGCCTGTTAGCGGTTCTCACTTTGTCTGGATTTTGTGGGTGCAGAGTGGAAACAAGGCTATCACCATACCTACACAGTAGGCTCAAAGGAAGAGAAAAAAATAAGATTTTAGGAAAGACGATGTTACACTATCTGCTAGCACTGTTGGCAAACAGAGTGGAAAGCTTGACTTTCATCCTGGTGTGTTGATTACTGACTAGAAAGAGAGCATTTCTTCTTGATGAGGTCAAGGCAAAGAAAGAGAGATTTAGGTCATAGAGTCAAATATATACTCAGTGAAGGAATCTAAATTAAAGTATCCCCAACAGATGGGATGGTCTAGTTTCTGCTTGAATACGTGCAGTGAATGGAACCCACTTCCTTGGTGGGTTATTGATTCCATTGTCAAACTGCTCTTATTGTTGGGAAGGGTCCCCCCCCATTTTCAGTTGGATCCTGCCTTTCTATAATTTACATCTGTTATTCTGTGTCTTGCTCACTGTAACAATGGACAACCTTCATTTGTGTGACATCCTTTCAAGTATTTATTTATCCCTTAACTCTGTTTTTTATACCATCACATATTCCTCCCTTAGTGTTCCATACTCTTGACTCAACATACCATGTTCTTTCAGTTTAAATTTATTGGTCTTTGTTTTACCCAGATTCACCCTCACTGTTCTTCTCTGAACCTGTTCCAGTTTCTCTGAATCCTTCTTAAAGGATTGTGGACACAGTGTTGGAGGTGGGGTTTGACCAACACAGAATAACACAGAACAATTACTTTGCATGATTTGGAAATGATACAATATAAAATTACATCTACCTTTTTGCACCCATAACACACCACTGATTCATATTCTGTTCGCAATCAGCTCAAATTTAGAACCCTTTTCACAAAATATCATCAAGCATGTATCTTATTAATCTTGTTCCTGGCATTTGATTTTTGTTTCCTAAAGTGAAAAGCTTTGCATTTATCCTCATTAAAATCTGTTCTGTTATTTTCAGCTCAACTCTGAAGTTATCAATATCATTTTTTAATTTTATTTTTCTTCTAGTATACTCACTATCCTACCCAAATGTGTTCATCTGCGAACTTGATAAACATTCCCTCTACCTCTTCATCAAAATCATTAATAAAAATACAGAGTACAGTGCCCATACCTGAAGCTCTGATACTCAATTATCTCTCTCCATTGTAATAAGGAGCTATTGATTAGTACTTTCTGTGTACATTTTTCAGACAGTTACGTATCCATTTATTTGTCATGCCATGCCATCCATCCCATACTTAACTAATTTAAAAGGTAAATCAGGGAAAACTTCATCAGATGTGTTACTAAAATCAATATAAGTTACATCCCATGTTCTACGAAATAAGGTCAAGAACTATTCTTGACAAATCTATGCGGACTTCTTGTAATTGCCATAATTTTTTGCAAAATGTTTACAGATTGATGTCTTTATGATCTGCTGTAGAATCTTCCCTGATACTCATGTTAGACTGATTGGTCTGTATTTAACAGGATCTCCCCCCTCCCCTTCTTGAAGATGGGGACAAGATCCTCTTGTCACCTGGTACTGTATTAGTTCACCATGATTTCTTCAAGAATGTTTGGCCAGACAATCAGTTTGTTCCTTCAGTACCGTAGGATGCAATTCATTCTGAGTTTCAGCTTTGTTGCTACAATCTCTACACTTGCAGGCTGTATGTATGTACTCTTCCTTGATGACCTGCCTCTCTTTCCACATTGTATATGTAACTTCTGTTCTCAGATTTTTGTGCAGCCACATTAGTTTCTGCTGCCATCCATTTTCTTCCTGTCATTAGAATTTTGCTTTTAGTATCTTCCTTTTTAGGAACTCCCACCTCTCTTCAGCTCCTTTTCCTATTAGCTTCTCCTGCCATGGATTCTTACTTATCCTTGCTTGGAATCCAGATACACAGCTGACTATACTGAACCTTACTTTTTCTTAAAATCAAGAACCCCAGTGCTATAGTCACTTTCCTCCTAATGTTCATGCTGCTCTCCTTGACTAAGACTTCCCTGTTGGTTAGTATTACATCAAGTATAACTGATTCTCTTATACAATACTTCACCCTCTCAAGCTCAATATAGAAATATTCAGGTAGAATTTTTAGCAGTTGCATGTAAAAGAACATAAACTTGTATTTTCATTGTGATTGTTACACCTTATTTGCTGTGCTCATTTGGTGTGTCTGTGCTTATGTCTGTAAGGTAAGAGTTCTGTAATAAGTTGAAAATACCTATCTACCTACTACTGACTCCAAACAGCTCTGGGTGGTTCACAGGTAAAAAGCATTAAAAACAGTACCATAATAAATGAAAATAAAGAAGTAAATGGCAAAGATGGCAAAGATGACAAAACTGGATAGGAACGAAAAAGAACAGATCCATGCAACCCAAAGGAGGCTTCAGTCATCCTTGCCAAAGGCCTGGGCAAGGTCTTTAAAAAACAAAATAATATTGTTTCTTCCAACAGATGATGAAGTAATTGGTGTTAGTGTCAGTGTTCGTGACCGGGAAGATGTTGTTCAAGTCTGGAATGTAAATGCATCATTAGCAAATGAAGCTTCAGTTTTAGAAAAGATCCATGAGCTTCTGCCCCAGACATCTTTTAAAGCAGTTTTTTATAAACGTAAGTGGTCCCTGCACACAATGTAAGTAGAACACAATGTTTATAAAACTGTATCAACAAAATCTGTTTAAGACTCATGAAGTATCTTGTTTTTCAGCCCATAAAGAACATCATGCTTTTGAAGGTAGACGTGGGAGACATTAACAGGACAGAACTCAGAAGGTTTTTTGTAAGATCATCACAACAGAAAGATGGATAAAACATTTACAAAAGCACCACAACCCTTAGTGCATTTTTGAGATCTTTGTATTCCTCTTGAGCCGCTGGTACTGAAAAAGCAAGAACTGCTGCCTCAGTAGCTGATACTATTTCAACTTCTCAACTCAGAAAGTCAGTTTCTTTTAATATTCCTTTCTTTTTAAGGTAGAAGACTACACTTAAGCAATTCTCAGTATCTGCTTGAACTGCAAATGTGCACAAGCATGATTTGCTGCTTTTTTTCTAGATTTGTTGTACCTAGATAAATAATAGCTTAGGGAACCATGTTTTCTGAATTTGTTTTTAGACATTCCTAACATGTTCATATCTACTCATAGATTTCTCCCAAAAGAGGCTGAAATGTGCACTGTTCTAATCTACGATGACAAATTCAATCATACAAATTCTGCCCAAGCTCCATGAAATGAATGGCGCTTTCACTGCACCTCTGCTATCTGGCTTGCTTCCAGCATCCTCAGCTTTTGCACTGATAATGCCCAAAACAGAACTGCATTCTCAGTTGACGGGCTCTCTTCAGTAATCACCAAACAGAGCCTATAAACTGAGAATACAGTTCTATTTTGATGAAGTCTGGAGATACAAGCCTTTAACAAACATTGACCTGGTTCACACCTGTTAGTCACCCACATTCTTGAAATTCTAAGCTGGGCAATGTTTAGATAGAAGCACTGTTTGTGATTATGTATCTACTGTGATTTCTGATAGTAGCAGCAGTTGAATTGCTACAGTTGTGCTGTTAGTGCAAAGACTACAGTCAAGTGTGAAGCAGTCAATTGTTAGTTGATGTCTGTTTGTTTTATGGCTATTTCAAAAACCTTATCTAGAATAATGAATGATTTTTCGACGGGGAAACCCTACAACTTTTATTTCTTATGTTGTTTGATTTTTTCTTAGCTTACTATATTTTATGTATCTCTTAAAAACAAATAATGCTCTCTACTATGTTCTCACTTAAAATAGGAAACTTCACATGTCCATTCTACTACACTTATAATAATATACCTTTTTTCCCCAACATCCTCATTATGATAATAACAGATATGTTTTTTATCCCTTAAAATCAATATCAAATGAATAGTACCTTTATGGTAAACATAATTTTGTGTAGTTGCAAGTTACGATAACGCCTTAAGTACACTTTTCAATGTAGAGAGAAGTCAGTTATATTTTAAAGCATGAATGTGAAGTTTTCAAATTAGTTTGTGTGATTTCCTCCCCATACTAATTTATTGGAGGTTGCAATACATTTTTATTTTTTATTACAAAACCAAAGATTTATTTAGTTCCTCACCAGAGGATGCCGATGTGCTAGAGGGAATGTTCATTCCCATCTAAGCAGAATTACTGGATTAGTATTAGTATTTTGAAAATTGTTCTGACTGCACTGATATCAACTCACATTTAATCATATAAGAGGTGGCTGTTGGATTTCAGTACATTTATGAATCAAGTTTCTCTTTTTAATTTTGTACTAGTTCATCTGTATTTATGAATTAAACTTGTGCATTTAACAAACCTTATTAAAAGTTTTATAAATTCATGTATCTAGTCAATAATTACATTTCATTATATATTCACTCTTTAGAAACATAAGATTTCTCAGATCTCAACACACACACACACACACTCACACATCATTTTTCAAGAACTTAGTAGTGCTGTATATCTACAACTGTTAACAAAATTTGGAGCTGAAGAAGCCATAAATAAAATGGCAAAAAACATAAATGACTTTTGTCCCATTGGGAAAACTCTTGATAGGTGGATTGAAATATTCATTTAGGACATTCACAAGGTATTCTTAGGCATACCACTCTCTACTTACCCTTTATTTTATTTAGTCTCTGCAGTAATCCAGGAAAATATAGAATAGTCACTTCCCCATCATGTAGGCAGAGCTATCCAGTAGAGTTATTTTGCAGCCCATCAAGGTAAAGGAACCTTCAGAAACTTGTTGATCACATTCAGAATGCGCAGTCCCTGGAGCTTCCCATGTATTTGATTTTTGCCTGTCTTGCTTATTACATTTTTCTTGTGAAATGACCTGCTGAGTCATGGAATTGTGGGGAAGGGGGATTCAAGCATATGTTCAAAGACACTGTTCAAGATCATTCCAAATTTTGGCTACTTCCAAACTTGCTTCTGAGTGAAGTGCTTCACGCTGGTTGTGTAAACAATTTTTATGCAGAGTCATACCAGTCCATCATCTTGACAGCAAAACTACCATGGCTGCCCTACTGTGTAGTCTTGCAGGGTTTAGAAGCTTCCAATACCATCAGACAAACTATTTTCCTGGGCTACCTAACTGGATAAATAGTGGAATTCCTCCTAGAGAATGGTATCTGCAGTAGCTTAAACCACAGGGCTATTTTGCCGTTCGGCATCACACGTAGACTTGGCCCCAATATATTTTCTATACAGGAAGCACATTCTGTGCCTTAGACAGATATACCTGTTGTCATTCCTTCTACTTTGAGCCTGGCAACATCTCCACTGGACTCATATCTGAGCTACCCTTAAATTGGGTGAGTATCTCTATGTTGGATCAGTCCAAAAGCCTGTCTAGTCCAATGCTCTGCTCCACAGTGGTCAACATTTATGGGGAACCCTAGAAGCAGAACGTGATAGCTGCTTCCCATTTGGCTTCCCCAGCAGCTAGCATTTTGAGGTATATTGATTCAGAATATGAACTGGAGTGAGCTATTGGGAATATATCCTGTCAACTTTCACATTTAAACAAATATGCTTAGGACTCTTCCTCTTTTGTTAATAATTCCACACAGTACTTGAGTTCTCATAAGACTTGGGTTTTGTGCCAGGAGCTGCTCTTGGCCGGGTTATAATGCAAGCCTTCCTCCTGTTTGTGCTTCTCAATGAGAGAGGATTTTTTCAGTTATACAAAGAGTTGTATAGATCCCCAGAGTACAGTGTTATATTTAACACAACGCCTTTTTAATGTAAATTCCTCTTAACAAGAAGGGCTGTCCCTGAGGCATCCTGATTAAAAGAGCTGCTACAGCAGTAATTACATAGTTCATCTAAAGAAATAATTTGTAGATGTTATAATTCTGAGATAAAGCCAGATCTTTTCTAATTTTAGGTTCTTTCCCAGTTTTCCCCAACTGCCTAGTTTTCCTACCTTTTCATTTATTCATCTATTTTTCTCTTCTTGAAAATTCTCATGTGAAATAAAGATTTGGTCTCATGCCTGAAATAGAATATTATGCTATATGACTACTCTTTTCCCTGTAAAAGCTCCTGTATTGGTGGGTCTTATTATTTTACCTTGGCTGTGAACTGAACTCTAGTATTTCAGTGTTTCAAATCAGCAAAATAAAATGGCCAAATTTCAGGTGGGTGGGTGAGTGGGTGGGTGGGCAGGCAGATGGATGGATGGATGGATGGATGGATGGATGGATGGATGGATGGATGGATGATAGTTACAAATGTATCAGTGGGTCTTGTTTGCATGAAATGAACAATGTGGTCATATTGTGTGGTGTTGTGCAGATTATTTAACCCATATGAATTATCAACTAAATCAGAAAGCACTTAATTTAATCCCAAACAAAACCAGTTCTTGCTTTTGGGGGGGGGGGACTAACTCTCCCCAATCAACTAACTCCACTTCCATGTTATACAAATTACTTACCAGAGAATTAGGTTAACTTCCAAGACAGATTTTATCCTAAAGAGGTCCTGAGAAAGCACTGGTTCCCTAGAAGCTGCTGTCTCAGTCTCCTTAATAGTTTTCACTTCTTCCTCCCCCCTTTTTTATATGGGGAAGTGAAAAGGGGGTAGAAAGTGGTAAGACTGGCAAGCAGTCCCCCGGTTTCTTCTCTGGGAGAAGAAAATAAAAAAGGCAAAAAGCAGGAAGATAAGCATTGGAGGAGAACCAAGAAAATTTGGGAACATCTGCACTAGGAGAAAGTACAAGCGCTTCCCAGGTCACCTGTCTGAAAGGTGGAAGCAAACCACTTTCAGTTTCACTTTTGCTTTTCTTGCACTCTGCCAGATGATCAGAGGCATTTCAAAGGTTTCAGGACTGCCCCCTTCCCGTCAGTCCACCAGTTACATCCTGCACTCTCCCTGCCCCCAAGTACCCCAAGTCTGGGTTCTTCTGTGAACCCAGAACATTCTTACTGGGTCTTTTTGTGGACAGTTGGCCCTGACTATTAATTCCTTAAAATCGTTTTGGACTTTGGTAAACATCCAGGTTCTGCCAAACATGCTTATAATAGTAAGATATTCTTATTTAGGAGTTCTGCTTTGCCAAGGAAAATGTGGGTGTTTGGGGCTGAGTTTAGCAGGACGATTTGGCCATTTGATGTTGTATTAAAAATGCTATTCACCTTTCCCCTTTGCAATAATCTCAATGCTTAGGGATTATTTTGGTATTGCTGAGCTCTATACATTAACAAACTAGAAGATTCCCAAGATGCATCTCCTGTTTCCTACCATGCCTAATAAAAGGGACCCCTTAAAGCAAAAACGTTCTCTTGGACTATTCAGCTGCTTGTATCCAGAGACTTTGTTGTCTTTGATTCTAAAAGTTGTATATAGTCACCATGACTCTGTGTGTGTGCATTTGTGCATGTGCCTTCAAGTCAGTGTTGACTCCTGGGAACTGTCTGGACTAGTCCTTGCAGTTTTCTTGGCAAGATTTCAGAAGTGGCTTCTCATTGCCCCCTTCCCAGGCTAAGAGAGAGTGACTGGCCCAAGGTCACCCGGCTGGCTTTTTGCTTAAGGTGGGACTAGAACTCCTGGTCTCCCAGTTTCTAGCCTGATGCCTTAACCACTGCACCAAACTGGCATTCTGGTCACAATGACTAGTAGCCATTAATAGATTCTATCTTACATGGATTTGTCTAATCCCCCCCTTTTTTTTTGTTTGCTTGCTTTTTGTAATCTTGCATGTCTATATGGTGACTATTTGAATTGCATTATTTTATATAGGAAAAATCAATACTTACTTTAAAAAAAACTCTGCATTGATTTTCAGAATAAGGGCAAAGAAGGCCTTAAACGCTCCACTTGGATGGAAGTAAATATCCTTAATAATAATTTACTACATTTATATGCCCCCGACTCCCGGCTATTCTGGGTGGTTTACAATGGTAAAAAGGTTGAAAACAAAGAACAATTAAAACACAAAAACAGCAGGAGAAAAAGGAACAATGATGGCAAAGAAAACAACCCAGAGGGGAACAGAAAGGAAGAAGCGAGTGTCAGTCATCCTCACAAAGAGCCACATCTGTAAGGCCCTTCAAAATACCAATTGGGTGGGAGCCTTAAAGATACAGCCACTTGTTTTTTTTTTTTAGTTCTTTCCATAAAAAGTTTAAGTATCAGTAATGCCTGCAAACTTGGGGTTAGGTAAAACTAGGCAAGGATGGCCATTATTACTCCTTGAGGGAAAAGATCTGTTTCCAAATGATAAACACAGGTAACTTTATTTAGCTCATAATAAGCCCATGGGGTTGGGGGCAGTGATGCGCTAGAACTGGCTCACATCGCCTTGTGAGAGTTGATGGTTAAATTTTCTGGAATTTTGTGAGCTGGTTGACAGCAGAGCTGAGCCTCACTGCCTAGCATGCCAGTCAGCTGTTCTGCTAGCGGTATGGTGCAGTGGCTGCGATGGAGCCGCAGAGCCGGGTTTTAAACATCTAGCAGCACACTGCTGGTAGGTTTTTTTCCCCCTGTTTGTGTATCATTATTGTTCCATTTGTGCATTCTATTTGATCCAGTGCTTCAGGAGTTGGCAGCGCTTGGCTGACCTTGTCTGGATCAGGATGCCAAGCAGGTTGGACTGGGTTAGTATCAGGCAGCAAACCACTAGGAATTCCAGGTCTCTAGGCTAGACTCGTCCAAGCAGTCACTGCAGAGGCGGTAACGACTGAACGCAAATTAAAAAAAAAAAAAAAGGCTAGACTGGAAAATCACAACACTATCCCAAAAGAACGCAATTGCGTCCTCTTCGTACTGCTGCCAAGAAAATTCCATGCATGTGCCCGTGGAAGCACCTGGAGTTGAGTTCAGCTTATCTCTGTTTGAACCAATATGATCTAACTTGCAAGAAACCACTGTATTGTAAGTAAAGTGTGTAGACACACACATGTATTTCAGCATTTTCAAAAATGCCATCTCTGACAACAAACCATATATACTTCAAACTCACTTCAGGAGCAACAACTGATAATCTCACAGGTTTATGTTGCCTGTTAAAGAACATCTGGTTCGGGAATGCCTGATTGCTAAGAAGTAGTGAATAGCCCCACTACTACCAGATGGAGTTGTAACATTAGGTCCTGGGATTCCCCAGCTTGAGAAACAAGATTTATCTGTTGAAAGGCAAAAAAAGCCGGAAGAAGACTTGAGAGATGGTGTATCAATGTCTAAGTTTTCCTTCACTTGTCTCCCAAATTCTGCATCTTACCTATGCTTCAGTGGAAAACCCCAAAGAAATCACACACTTTTATCACTGCCAGTTAATTAATTGTTAATTTCAGGCACAGCGGGTACAAAGAAGTAATAGCATCC